ACTTAAGTATTATTTGAACATTATAATATTTGGTTTTATAAATTCTGTTGGGGACGTAATACTAAACAACCTACGGGTTACTTATCGTTATTGGGTTCACTTATATATTATTATAGGCGTGAACAAACACTAATGGATTTAATGCTTTTTCAGCTCTGAAGCGTTGCAGTAAATACCCGTCAAAGTGAAACGAAATTTAATTTCAATGGCCCATTATGGTTCATTATTCTTTAGTAAGATCAAGAATGATTTCTGTCTATATCGATGAACAAGGTAATTAAATATTATTAATTAAGGTGTTTCAGTTTATTATGGTAACTAGTAAGCTAACTAAACTACCTAACATATCTAACACTATATTATTACTTATTAGAGTGATAAAACATGACGTTTATAATTTTTTTTTTTGAGAAAGTAAAGTTCATAAACATAGTATAATTGATGGTCCTAAGTCTATAATTTCGATATAGTAACAACAAAATGTGCTTAATTAATTATACCAGAAAATAATAATATCTGATAGGTTAATAAGTATAATAATAACTAACAACAATCTTTGATAGGTATACAAAATATTATAAATCATTGCATGAATATCATTTCAATTTTTCTAGATAAAGTACTAAGTAGTGTAAGGTATGTTTACCATACATTTAATGGATTATATTTTGTGATAATTGATATTAAAATAATTTGGTATCTCTTTCAGTATTTGTATTTATAATAAATGTTTGTATTGCACGTGCGCAGACTTATAAATCATAATAAACTTAATATGAAAATATGATAGGATTGTTGTTGAAATACTTCAAAATAATAATTAATAAATGTTACATAATTTAACTTATTTAGTTCGTATACGACTGTCGACTATATGTCTGAACGTTGACAACGATTTTCGAAATGTAGTTAAGTTAGGTAGGTAGGTACATACCATCAAAATACATACCACAAATACCACAAATATGCTTACAAGAAGAAGTTTAAGAGTAAAGTGTAATTTATAGTGCATAATATAATAGTCGATAATACTTTTAAAAACTACAGTTTTTATAGGATGAAAAATGGCTTATAGCTATTAAATTCTAATCCGAATATAAAATAGGTATTATTAAAGTTGATGTAATATTATGACGTTTTTTCGAAGATAATCTTTTTAACTTATTAGATTTTCCCAAATTCCCACAACTATACAACTTCAATTTTGATTGAACATTTTTAATGTTCTAAACATGTAGTGAAAAATGTTTTGAGCGTCAATAATCATTAATTGCATATATGTAAACAATTGAACATGTTCAATAAATGCATAATATTAACAATTTGAAGTCTTTAAATAGTTTAATTATTAATAATCACATAGGATCTTTACTTTAACTATAAAATTATCTTATAGCACGCTTGTCACGTTCACAATAAACTATTTACCATCAAACACGATTTTTCGGATAACCACCGATAATCACGATTTTGATTCGAAAACACACTATTAGGTAGTAGTTTGATTAAAATAAAATACACGATTGTTGTCGACTACCAAGTGAAGTCAATGTAGATAGAGTTGGGACTGATAGGAGTCAATGAAACATAATGTTTGACCCAAAAACCATTTTTCGATTTAAACCCAAAAATCTATCATAATCACTATGATATGGTACACTTATGACACAATTTTTTTGTTAATTTTATTTTTATAATTGAATAGGCTTTAATGATTTCTATGATATTTACCATCGTCCAGATGTATTTGAAATGTGTTGAGTTTGTGTATTTTCAACCATTTATAATTTTAAATATTATGATGTATTAAACGACTCGTGTTTATAGATGTTTCAGAAATAAATGTGCTTTAGTTTGGGGATAAATGTCTACTTAAAGATTGCGGGGTTCGTCATCCCATTTAATACATATAACTTATAAGTACCTACCTACTATTTAGTATTTACTAAAAACACTCGCTTATATCACTGATAATAATGCTATAAATTAATTTAAAGAGTACCAACGGAAGTTGTTCACATTTTCTGTAAAATTATTTGCCACTTGAATCATTTTAACGATTTAATATTAAAACTCTTGTGCTGGTACTATGTATAGATTATTAGGATGTAATACAATATTTTCATTGAGTTGTAACACATTAAATTATATTCATTTATAATACTTTTGTACTATGTATACAATAATTGAGTAAACGCATAAATATGCTTGATACTATTTATTACCTAATATTTAATAATACATAGGTTCTACAATATTAAACTATTAACTACTAACTATTAATACAATAATATTCTCATTATAAACTGTACTTATGAGTTACAAAAAGCTAATGACATTTTATTTTGTAAAGTGTTGACATTTTGTCGTATGAAAATTATATTTTTGATGAATGTTTATTTTTGTTTAAATAAATATATTTTACTTCGTAGGTATTTTATATTTATTAATCGTGTTAGGCTTCAAATAATAGTATTTGAAAGTTTCAATACACAGGTGTTCTCCTTAAAGTTATCACGTCCCATAGGACAATTTTTTTCCTGATTAAAGAATTCATCTTGACACAGTAACACTTTAACTACGTACTATAGTCATCATGCATGCTATGGCTAGTATAGTCAAGCTCTAAGGAGTGATTCGAATAAAAAGTTTTCAACATTTGACCATTCTCCCCTAGCAATATAGAATAAAGCGGTTCTCATGGCATGTCTCAAGAGATTCAGACGATGTAATTTATTTCCTATACTATTATTAGGAACCAAAATAAAAAGTTAGAGAATTAAATAACTTGCTCTCAATAAAAATAATAATATACTTATATACTAGCTACTATATCTCAATAGATGTATAATATATTATAAATACTAAATCCATTAAGGTAATGCTGTATATGTACCCATGTTTAGAAAAATAATATTATATTGCATTAAATGTATAATTATGTCATGTGATGCGTTAACGCGTTGTACAGTGAAGGTATACATATTGCACGTTGGCACCAATTCTGAAACAAAATATATTATAGAACATACATTTTAGAGTAAAATATTATAAACAAAAAAATAAATACCTTATCTAATAATATTATAATTTACTGTTCAGTGACAAACAGAATGGTTTTCTTTATTTTTGTCATTCTTAAAATATTTTGTATTAATTCTAAAAGGCATTGTTTTCAGCAAGAATAAATAAAATTTAGGAATTATTTGAATATTTAATTTTTTTTTTTAAATGTAAAACTAAACAAAGACTTTCATTAATTTATTACAAAGAGTGTCATATCGTATTGTTTAAGACTAGATGTACACAAAAATTAATTCAAGCCTGATTTAAATACAAAACTAAAACACAGTAATAATAATACAATCTGAATATCTAATATCTGAAAGAAAAATTTGAAATCAAACATGTCTTAAAAAATACATATTTCTCCATATATACGTAGTAGTGTGTTACTGGTAGATAGTATAATTCATCTGTAAGGTTCTATTAAATGTGCATATCTATAAATCTACAATGAAACACTAATGAAAAATATCATGTGCATTGATGACTATGAGTTGGTACATTCTTATTTCCTAGAATAGGTTCATTCTATATATTTGTGTTACATGCAAAACTAGCTGTAGCCCCCTGTACCCTCCCGCCTGTGGCAAAGATATGTTTTTTAAAATAAATTTATTTGTAAGAAAATATTTATATTCCATATTTCTACTAATATTGTAATATGTGATCAATGGGACAATTCTATATGATATAAAAAAAACAAAAAAAAACTTACATTTTTCGTGAGCCGAAAACAATATTTATGAGCGAGCCACCCTATAGCAATCTATATAGGGGTTGAAAAGATAAGCTATAAACACCCTTCAAGCCTCGAGGAATATATATTTAAATAACTTTTATTAAAAATTAACTGGTAGTTTTTGAGTCTATTTTAATTACAGTCAGATAGAAAAATATACCAATATCCATTTTTATGTTTACCTTTATGGCTTTAAAGATGGGTATTAGTTTCATGTAATATGACATATTTTCAAACGAATGAAAATTATTTTACGCGCGACTTAGCTGCACTGTCGTAAACGTGTGTAGTGTATGGTGGCAGATAAAGTGTCCTTTGCTGTGGGGGTGGGGGTGAGGCGTGAGGGTTTTGTAGGACATGGCGCGAATTTGACTGCGCGCGCGGGGCGGCGGCGAGCCCGCTGGGCAACAGGTGTCGGCGGCGCACGAGGTTTCGTTAAATCCGTGTACTGGTCTTGTACTAAAGTGTCGCGGCCGAATATAATAAGCTATAATAACGGCGGTCATGAAACCATGTCATACCGTCGTACCGCAACCATTATCTGTATTACGATCGTACGATGGCAAAACTGTCGTTACCGCGGTTCGTTACTATTCCAAAAAAATTCGTCGTACGCACCGTGTAATGACAGGGAAAAAAGGACGAAAAAATCTGATGTCGGTAACGAAATCCGTTGTCAGTTGCGCGCGCGTTACGCTCGCGCGTCGCAAATTACGGCGGCGGCGGTGACTTTATTGACTTCGCGTTCGGCCGGTCGGCGGCGCGGCGCGGAAACGTCGTCGTAACTCGTAAGTCTCCGCCGGTGGTGGCGGGCAGGACAGGCGCAATGCGCGCGCGGACGATATACGAGCACCGCGCGCACCACGTACGTGTGTGCGCGCGGGCCCGTGTGTGCGCGCGTGTTTGCAGACGGGAGGTGTGCGGCGGCGGTGCGCGCGGCGTGCGTGTGTCGTCGTCGTCGCCGCCGTCGTAGTCGTCGTCGTCGTCATCGTCGTCGCTTCTCCGTCCGACGCACGGCCGGCCCGTATGTCGCTTGCTCCGTCGGCGCCGGCGTCCGTCCATCCCCACCCGCCCGCTCCCGCCGCCGCCGTTCATACCGCGCGCTACCATCGCCACCACCGCCGCCACCGCCGCGCGGTCATATTCTTTATGCGACTGCCTGCCGGCGGCGGTGGTGGACGGCGGAGGGGCGGCGGGGTCCCGTAGCGGGCGGGCGGTAGCACAGGGGGCCGGGCTCTCTATCAGTTCCGAGACCGTAAACCATTCTCCCGCCCAACACTTCGATTCACGTCCCATTATTGTAAGGACAAACTTTTTGGAGCCCATAACACACACAGCACACTTTATAGCTTTTATATCGTCGTGTTCCATTTCCACGCCGCTTCTGTATACATTGTATTTTTATTTCGTTTGTTTTGATTTTCTGTAATATTATTATTATATTATTATTACGTCGTTGTCATTATTATTTGGTTATTTTTTTTATTCGCACGCCGCGGCATACAATATTTTAATATAATATTTTCCGTTTATTACATCGTATAATATTATAATATTTGATTTTTTCGCCGTTCTCGCCGACCCGCCAAAAATATTTACGACAGACGTATATTTAAAAACACGCCGATCCAAACGCGCGGAAAATCGTATTTTTAATCGTGTCGAAAAAATGCATGCTAAACACCGGTCGTTTTATATTTTAACCGCCACAGTTTTTCGTTGTACGGTATTCGATTTTTGTTGAAACGATTTTTTTTTCAATCATCACTACATAATAATAGTTATTTAAACCTCCGCAGTTATTGTTTTGTTTGTTTTGTTTTTATTATTATTATTTTTTTTTAATCAAAAACACACATTATTCTAAACACAGTTTTTTGACGTCTACTCGCCTTTCAAGAGATCTCATTGGACCAAAGCACATACTCGGTGAGTGATAACATTTTCTATCATAATAAATGTAATATGTATATAAGAAACTATCTATATGCGTGAAACTGCACGTCATGCTCTTAAGTCTGATCATTCGAGTTATAAGTAACGATCGTAACGCTTTTTTTTATGTCTATAGTATGGTAAAGGAGGATACATTTGTTAAGTTTTATTTTTTGACTTAAGCCGGTAGTGTATACAAAAATAAATCAAACATTTATATTTTGTACCTTTCCACTATTACATGGGTTACACATAGGTTTGTTGAGATGATCACAGATCACAAATTATTCATAACATTTCAATACATTATAATGATGCCTATCTTCTAGATTCAACATATCTGCACAATACTGGTATACCTATTATAAAACATTCTCATTATAATATCTAAATTATATTTTATTTAAATATTTAGAAATCTGTATTTGTTTAGTGTCTTTATAGAATAACGGTAAATTTGTATAAAATCTACGCAACAAATTAATACATAATAGGTAGTAATATCATATTATACTTTATAGGTACCTATTATATTACTAATTAGGTATGATTCCTAGCGTTATGATAGAATAAATGAAATTTAATATTTTTCGATAAAGCCATCTAGAAAATAATTATATTATAAGTATAATACTATGGTATATATTAAGACGATCGCATCAACAGAAAGACAAAACATGTTAAATTATTCAACTATCATACTTCATTATTTAATTTTAGAATATTATCTAACCTTTTATGAAAATACATCTGTACCTTACTACCTATACCTAAAACAACATTTATTAAATTATAAAATTGTATTTCTTAGTTCATTCAATAATTTCTTAGTTTAATATATATATTATATGTATATTAAGTATACCTACCTACACCTGTTATTATACCTATGCCCTATATATATATATATTAGGTGTATACATCACATCATTATAATGTTGTATAGGTATAAGACATTACGTTTAAGATGTATTTTTTATCTTTATGTTACTTATATCTAATTGTTTTTAATTTTTAAATGAATACAGTAAACTTACATGTTGTTTAGACTTGGTTTAAAAACAGTATACAATATGAGTACCTTTATGAAATCGAATTGTTTGTTTGGTAAAATTATTTTAAAACCGTCTCAATATTTCAAATAATATATACCTTATTAAACAGACATGTCAGTTTTAATATTAAACATCAGTAGGTATATTATATTATTATCAACTTCTTTCAATGTACTGACCTAAATGATATTAAATATAACAATAAACACAATACATTTTGTATATAAGTATATATGATAATATATAAGTCTGTTTACCTTATTACAGGCGTATAAATATGAATACCACATACTAGTATATTATATCAACTTGAATACTCACTAAACCTTCATTTCACTCGACGATAAACTAAAAGAGAGTATGTAAGAGAGCAGTAGTTATAAATGTATAATATTATACTTTGCAAAACCGTTTAATTAAAAAATAATAATATATAACATTTCACTGGATACTTTATGTTGAAGGGTGCATGGGGGTGCGCGGGGGGAATAGAAAGATAATAATAATATACCTATACAGTATTATATATTGGTATATCTATAATAATAATAATATGTATAAGCAGTGAGCGTGTAGGTACTATATATAAAAAAAATCATGTCTTCGCGACACAGCTCTGTGCGACGGTATCTGATGTTATTTTACACGAGAGATCATTATATTAACGATTTCAATCACGCGCACAGGTTAATTACCGTACGGATCATAAACAACGGCGGTGGCGACGACGGCGGCAGCCCGAGAGCACACACTTACTATCCACTGTGAAGGTATATTATACACGGCAGCAGCAGTAGCCGCTCGCCGAATATTTACGACCGTTTTTTTATTTTTTTAATGGCTCAATTTAACAACAATCGTGTATATTATATTTTATACGCACCTATATACGTACCTAATATATTTATGGGATACATATAATGTCAGCCGTTATATTATAATAATATGATGATTAATCGGACCACAGAGCAGGACGTCGTCGGAGACCGGCCGATAGATATAGGTACCTATACATAGCAATAAAGATTAAAATTAATATAATTTATATCGTATCATTATGACATATCGCGGGCGATTCGCGCGGTGATTGCCGCTGCAGCTATTACAGTGTAATATATACGGAGATCGTAAAATATCATAATAATATCTTAAAGATCGAGGTACCTACACCTAGGCGGGAAACGCGGAAAGCTGCACGTCGAGGCGGTAGTCTTATGGTAAAGAGTTTTTCGAAAAAAAAAACCGCATCATAAACATGCCTAATTTATGTACAAGGGGGAGTGTATGTGATTTTATCACACACATACGCGCGCGTGTACACACACATCCTCACATTAAACACACACGCATGCAAACCGGCGGCGGTGGCGGCGACGGCGGCACGCTCCTCGGCACTTTAGGTCGTTGTGCACAGACTGTTTTACGACCTGGTTTCGACCATATTTTTGCCTCGGCCACGGCGCTCCGACCAATTACCGTCAATAAAAACCCGTGTTTACACGTCGTTAACTTAATAATTTTTTTTCTCTTTCTCTCTCTCTCCTTCTACATCACTCGTTTCTCTTCACTTTTGTATATACTACTACGCGTATATAAGATACGTGGTAGGATGTAAATCCGTTTAGAAAAAAAAAGCGTCGTTTTATTATTCAAACGATCAAATTGAATACTCTTTATGTACTATATATACATAAACGATGTATACACATATAGCAGCTACCGCCGCAAACGACACACTTGTAGAAAATCTATTGCGTTTGCTGACAGCGTATAGGTAGGTATACGATAATGCTTGTTTAATGATAATTTTTGTCAGAAAAGTCCTACTAAATATTTATCAACTTGTCTGATTGTTTATGGGTAGGTCGTAGGTGCTACGAGTAAAAAATAAAGCGTATAAACAGTAGGTAGGTTTATATACATTGCAATTTATTTTTAGAATTTTATTATTTAGGTGTATTATATTTAATATTTTATTAAAATAAAAGTTGAATTAAAAAAATGTATTTTATTGATTGCGGCTGTTTGATAGATTTGATTTTTTTTTTTTTGTATTTACTTACTTTAATTTGAATTGTTGAATTAATTTTATCTGGATTTAAAATAGAATTTAAATAGTAACTGTTCACATTAAATATCAATTAAAGCTAGGTACACTTACTCAAATTAAAAATAAGTAGATAAAGGTTATATTTGTTCTAATATGATCGTATAACATTTCTTATAAAACTGATAAAATAAATTTAAACCTTACTTTTTTAATAGTTTTTTTTTGATAGCATAGAAAACATAGATCTCAACGATTTAATTTTAAGCAAATAATTCTATCAATAAAATATACTAATATGTAATTATAATTATATATAATTTTTTAAACTATATATCATGTATAAATTAGATATAGTAGTATAAAAATAGTTATCTTATTATTTAATATATTATTAGGTAACTTTAAAATTTGCTTAAGATTCTTTTGCATTTGACTAATTAATTCAATAACATTAGAATTAAAAAATACATACAATTTTAATCAACAAAATATGTTGATATTACTTAATTAAGTAGTTATACAGTTTCAGTAATATTAAATAAATAATATTTATATTTATTTAGTTGTTAAATATAAGATAAATGTTTTTATTCATTTACTAGATAAATAAGTACAATATTGTTTACCATTTAATAAACATTTCAAATGATTTTAACGTACATTGTATCCATGACAAAAACGGAGTTCAATAATGTCACGCGTTTCAATTTTATATGGTAGGTACCGATATTGATAAGTAATTACTAGTTATTTATTGTTATTTTTCTTTAATAATATTGTACCTATATATGGTAGGTGTAGTTTATTATTAAACAGCTGAAGGAAATATATTATGTTCGCGCATGATCTACTGTAGGCATATTATATACATTTACTTATAATGTTTTATACTTAGGATGCAAATAATATTATTTATGTACATACACAAACATTTAAGGGGGGTTGCCCAACCGGTGATGCGCCTTGTGATGTAGGACCTGGCGGCGGCGACACTGCGGTGGCGGGGACTGTACCGGTTGACATTCGTGTTAGGCGAGGAACGTGACCGAGAGTGTATAATAATACTTGCTTCGACAATGGAATAAGAAAAAAAAGTATCAACACGCTATCTGACGTTGTGGTTAGCAGTGGAACGTATAGCAATATTTATGTGAATTTAATCGAAATTCTCAGTAAATGTACGGCCAAAAAAAAATATGTGTCTATATAACGACATAGTATTATATAGTACTGTACCTATATTTATATAGTGTCGAAGTCTGAACATGGGATATTACATTTTGCACTTTTATCACTGAATATAAAATTATAAACATAATATACCTGGAGTACATTTCATATATTTGCAGGGCGCTTTGGTTTCTCTTTTGTTTTTGACTTTTTTTATTATGAATATCATTAATTACACACATTTTAGTTGGCAGAATTAAATCAAGTATTATAACTCGTATTTGATGTAGAAACAAATAACTATTGTTGTACTACCCATTTTTTATTCCTCAAAATGGTCTTTTGTTAATATTGAAATTACATCTATGCTGGTATGACACTGGTAGTAAAACATACTCATCGACAAAAAGTCGGTAGCTAAATATGTATAAATGGAAAGCATTTTTGTCGATGACCTATGGCGAACCAATGTAATACCAGCTTTACGTAACCAACTCAACTAAGTTGTACGTGTAATTTCGTCAACATTTTATCACAATAATTATAACACCTCATAATAGATATAAACATTGCCCTTGACAGCACCTCCAACGGGGGGAGGGAGGTTCGACCAACGATGTTGAATATAATATATTGTGAATTATATATTATTATATTGTTGAATTAAGCCACAGACGTATTGCGAAAAGGTTTGCCAAAATCTTAAACACAACTTTAAT